AATTTAAAATGGTTTCAAAAATAATTTATTATCGAAATAAGTTATCCAGGGAGGGATGGTGGGTATAATTTCAGTTCCAAAATTTTTCTGCCACTTTCTATCTGCAAACTGAAGCGCCATCTGAGATCAGATAACATCAGGGGAAGGAACTAACTTAGTATTAGCATTTCTCCAACATAAAGTCAAAGAGTTATGCCGCTTTCTACATTACCGCCTAGTTTGATAAAAATTAGCATTTTTGTCAACACAGGCCGGCTCTGTATGATGGGATGAAGGAATGACAAACAGACAAATATGTATGAATTAAAAACTGTCATTTATTATTAAAATGACGAAGAAGGAACACAATGAAAAACATGTATAATAATTAAATCAATAAATCATATTTATAAACAACATATATGGTTATAATGACAAAACCTTATTGACCCATCCCATCAAAGATGGGGTTACATTCGCCACAATATTGTTACACAAAGCCTTCCTTGTAACAATATCCCCCATCCAAGCCAGTGATAAAAAATTCAAAATAAACAATAAGTTCTAACTACCAAAAATAAGAAAACAACTTTATATAAAAAAAAAATCACCAATCTAAGTAATCCACATCTATCTGAGAGCTTTCATTCTGGATTCCGAGAACGTTGACATGTCATCTATTCCATGATTAGAATGTATTTGCAGATTAAATAATGGCTACCAGAGGCCAATGTCCCCATGGCAATCAACGCCAAATAAACCTATATTGACATTTTTTTTTTCCCGATTAAAAATCTTTTTTATTCGTTACTATGTTGATACGCTAGAACAATTTCGACTGCTAAATTTCGTGAAAGATAATAGCATTTTCCACAGGGTTTATTACAGTCACGGTGCGTAAAGTAAATCAACAAACTTTATGGGATGTAGATATTTTATGACAGTAGGTCGGTCAAGAGTTTAACCCATCGTCAGCTGCAATGACAGACGGGGATTTTTCATTACTGTTGGTTTTATAATCTCTCTGAGAATTGGGATAATTAGGTATAATATTGTATGACCAAAGTAGCGAACGTAAATACTTCGTTTTTATTATGTGTTAAGTTATCCTCGAAATAAATGATAAAAAAAAAAAAAAAAAAAAAAGTTATTACAAAGAACAAAATTTATGGTTGTCCCCATGGCAACAAACACCTAACAAAAACCATATACACTACACAATATTACCTAAGTCCACAATGTACACATGACTGGAAATAAAGAGGCCCATGTTCCCATTTCATTTTAAATCACAGATACAAACATAGATTCAATTAAGAGTCTTATGACACTTATATCTAAATGTGAATATCCTCTCTTATTATGATAGATAGAGGCCTTTGTCTCCATGACAACCAACATACTACTATGTTTAGTTCTCCATGTATAAAGGATTGAATGAAAGAGGCCCCTGTCCCCATTTCATTTAACGACATCTACCTAATTTTACCTTCTCTTATTCCACGTAACTTCATCCAAAATACTTCTGTATAAAATTGATAAATATCTATATCAAAACATTATCCACTATAATGTCATCAAAATTATTCCATTCTCATACATGTATCGAAAATACACCACGTACAATAATAAACATTTACTTTTAATTAAATGATGAAAACATCAGGCAAAAACAAAAGGTAAAAAATAAAATTAAAAAAAAAAAAAATGTGAATTTCTTAACCTTTTGTTACACATTTATAACTAATACAATTAAGACTGACATGATTACACGTTTATGACACAGTGGCAAGAACAAGGGACCCTACAACGTGTTTCCTGAAAGAACAGCTTTGTGCTGTATCAGAGGTCCCTATCCCCATGATACAACATCAAAACACATAAAAACAGATTCAGATGTTAAGACGAGGCATTGGTTTTCCCAATAAGCCCCATGGCTAATGCCTCATCGAACAACTCCTCATTTACTCCATCCCATGTTAAATGCAAAGGGTCTACTTCCCTCCACTGCCTATATGCCTGATCATAAGAAAATGCTGACTCAATTCCAGCTTTTTCCGCCAAGTTTGCAATGGTAGCCGCATATATCATACGTTTCGGTGATTCAGTAGGATATTTTTCAAAATAAATTGCCCCATAAATGCGAAAAGCTTCGTGCCACTGTGCCATTGACTCAATTTTTGCCTTATTACTACAACTTTTTACAAATGTTAAAGAATCATCCTTCTCTACTGGAACATATTTGACCACTGTAGATTTGGATTTAAGTAAATCCTCCAGATTAGTGTATTTATTTGACCAAATATCAGCTTTGAGTTTAGGGTCCACACCCAAAGCCAGTGGACGAGATAAACCTTGGCCTCCTAAATCGGTTGAAAATGTACCTGTGTTTGAATTGTTCTGTAGTAGATGGTTAACCACATGCTGATTCAGAGTTCCTTCAATTGGCACCGAACACTGTTGGCAGCTTCTGTTAATAACATTTGAGTAAGAAGGATTGCTGCTCTCAGATAATTGGTTAACGATCATATTTGAGGCGTGTGACTGTGATTGTGTCGTCATATCTGTTGCATTACATGTATTGTTATCTTGCCTTGGAGGACCAATGGAATTAACACTCTGCGACTGGTGTGCTGGTATTAAAGTTAGATCTGGTGAAATTGCATCCTTGCCTTGTATAACACCAGTGCGTTTGAGGATTGTAACCACAGTTTGTGTGATGATTGGTGTTGCAAAAGTCGATATCCTCAGAACTTGCTCATCATTATTAGTATTTGGAACATTCGGATTGGACTGTGACTTCTCAGAACTGTCTATGTTTTCCGTTAATTCTTCGAGCCTCTGGGTCCTTTTTCTTTTACGGTTACTTCTTTTGGATAATTGCGATGTCATTTCTGATGAGGTAATTGCTGGAAGAGAACACAAAATAAACTGAATGCATGATATAGAACTTCAACATCCAATAAGTGCCATTAGAACATAATAAACATATAAATGTCATATGCACTTCTCTCCTGTACCATATATACTCAATACCATTAAACTCATTTCAGTGCCCTGTGCACTGATTATAAATACAATATGAAATCAACCACAACAAATCTATATAAGTGCCATATGCACTGCTCATCAAAGCACAATTTGAACTAGAGCATCATAAATTCATCTAAATGCTATATGTACCCAAACCTAAATACAATATGTACTCAAACACAACAGATCTATCTAAGTGCCATATGCACTGCTCATCAATGCACCATTTATACTAGAGCCTCATAGAATTCGTCTAAATGTTATATGTACCCAAACCTAAATACAATATGTACTCAAACACAACAAATCTATCTAAGTGCCATATGCACTGCTCATCAAAGTACCATTTGTACTAGAGCCTCATAAAATTCGTCTAAATGTTATATGTACACATCCTAGATACAATATGTACTCAAGCACAACAAATATATATAAATGCCATGCATATGCACTGCTCATCAAAGCACCATTTGTACTAGAGCCTCATAGTGCATATGCACTTGTGTTAAGTACATAATGTATCCAAGTACAATAAACTTATCTAAGTGGCTCATCAAAGCACCATTTGTCTAGAGCCTCATAAATTCATGTAAGTGCTATATACACCTGTTTTAAGTACATAATGTATCCAAGTACAAAAAATAAGAAAAAATTCAAAATAAATTATATTATATATATATATACGTGTCATATGCACTATTGAATCCTATATAATTATATGACTTCTGATTACAATGATTCTTGGTACATTAAATAATTTCTTATCTCAGTTGTGTTACCAGTATTTAATTGCCTTTACTAATTTGCTATGATGAGGGTAGTTAGATAATTCTATCTTAATTGTTTTCATAAACCCTTGCAGACTGTCTGAATGACCGTTAAAATTAATGTATTATGCAGCTGTGTTTTAATTTGCTATGGTCAGGGTTGTTAAATAATTCTATAGTAGTTGTTTTTATGAGCCTTAGCAGACTGTCTGAATGACCGTTGAAATTAATGGATGATGCAGCTGTGTTTTAACTATCATGACTTTTAATTACAAGCCGTATAGTTTATGAGGTTGTTTGCTTTATATTCTGCTCCTATAGATTTGTGGTCTCGAGGTGAATGCTACTTTGATGAAAACACGTGAGAAAGTATCCTAGGAACACACGAATGTTGACGTTGGTACAACGGATAGTAAAATGTATACATGATATATGAACTTTTACATAAAAGATATTTTAAATTAATCAAATCGTTTAAAAAACCCTGCAATGACAAGGAAGCCCGTGTCAAAAGTATTCTGTTATAATATACCATAGTTAACAAAAACTGTGTTGGGAGATGATACTCAGTTTATAAGACGCTCGATTTTAACATAATTAATATTAAAACAAAGCATCTTGATATAATATACCATAGTTACATAAAATATGTGTGGCATATGATACCCAGGTTATATCCCCAATTTTGAAAGAAATTGAACATTGACACCCATTATTCTGTTATATTATATTTCGGAGTAATTTTCCCTGAACTTAATAGCTTTTCACAAATAAATAAATAAAAAATACTTATCTGGCATATTGTTACCGACTGAATCTCCAATCGTAATGTCAATGTTTTGGATAATAAAATCAGCAGTAACCCCAATTCCTCTGTCGTATAAACAGAGGATCCTCACAGTTCATCAAGTTGAAATTATGTAATGTCTGTCGATTATGAATAAAAGTTCCCAATCTACGAACGTGGGAACTACCAACTACGGCAATGTTCATCGTATAAATATAAATTCACTCTAATTAAACTAAAATATTTTTTTTTAAAATTTCAGGTGCTTCAGCTGACCCAAAATCACTCACTAGAATACAGTATTTCTCGTACTTATTAAGTAACAGTGCCGTAAAATTAATACAGGAAAAACTTTAAATTAAACTAAACTATAATGTTCTTTAACCTCTGTGAATCTCAAGCAGGTAGATGCAAACTACGGCAAATTACGGCCATATATTTATAAATTACAATGTCAAATTTCATATTAAAAAGTTTCCTAATTGTTCACAGAATATAATCCTTTTTCTTCTCAAATCACAGTATAAACTTACTATTTAAAACACAAATTACACAAAATATAAGATAATTTCATATAATTTCAGTTCCAAAATTGTTCTGCCACTTTCTATCTGCAAACTGAAGCGCCATCTGAGATCAGATAACATCAGGGCAAGGAACTAACTTAGTATTAGCATTTCTCCAACATAAAGTCAAAGAGTTATGCCGCTTTCTACATTACCGCCTAGTTTGCCAAAAAATCATTTTTGATAAAAATTAGCATTTAACAACATTTGCAATAATCGACATTGGCCCTCTTGGACAAAACGTTTTTCCTTAACAGAGTTGACTCCCCCGAACACTGGTTATTGCATCTCCTTCGTTACCACAGAGAGATATCAACAACACATGTTTTCATCTACAGGGTTCTGCAGTCTGGAATTGACATTCATTTCAATTTGATTCGACTGTCATACAAGTGAGAGGTTTAGCTATAGCTTTAAAATAAGAAAATGCCTGTACCAAGTCAGGAATATGACAGTTGTTATCCATTCGTTTGATGTGTTTGAGCTTTTGATTTTGCCATTTGATTAGGGACTTTCCTTTTTGAATTTACTCGGAGTTCAGTATTTTTGTGATTTTACTTTTTTCAAACTAATAAATAAAAAAACAACTTACAACGCCATGGCTAAAAAAGAAAAAGACAAACATACAAACAATAGTTCACAAAACACAACACAGAAAACTAAAGACTGATCAACACGAACCCAATCAAAAACTGGAGAGATCTCAGGTCCTCTGGAAGGGTAGGCAGATCCTGCTCCACATTTGGAACTCGTTGTGCTGGTCATGTTAGTACAAACCCGATAATAAGTCTCATTCGATTAGTCACGTTCGGGATAAAGGGATGGGATTGTAGTTTCGACAATAGGAACATTTCCGTTATCATCTGTGAAACGGATATTTCATAACGGTCAACCAACTCGTGATGGCGTCCGTAAAACTATCGAAGGGATGATTTCAACTTCACCACTTGGAACTCTTGGTTTTATATTAGCTTCTATGTGGGCAGCAACCCTTTATCAAGGAAATCATGATAGAAATACAAACCTCAAAATTGTAGGGTACTTGAATTTAAGATTTCTATTAGAACGCGGACATTGAAGTCAAAGTTCAAACACATATTCTTAAATGTATTTATTGCATTTTCTCTAAAACTATATAAAAAAACAAAAGATTATATAAAAACCGGTTCAAAATGTTTAACATATTAAGATTTCCTATACTGAAAGCCAGTGACATTCTGTAAACCTGAAGTAGCCTATTTTCTTATTGACCGAAAAGAACAGAGCAAGCAGATATTTTTGAAAGTTAGCTTTTGGTGGAATAAACATCTTTGTCCTGTATACCATCATACGTTGAAGGACCATACATAAGTGACCCATTAATAGTTTGTTATAAAGATACTTGTTTAAAACTAGGTATTACTGATTAAGTATCACTGGAATCGTAATTTTCTCAAGTGATAAAAATGGAGAAAAAACTCCAAGTGCACTGTTTAATATATAGTAAAAATGTACTGTCGCATGAAAATGATAAAAACAAGTTGCCCACACCCAACATGAAAAACTTAAATCAGTCCATGTGTATACCCATGTAGACGATATGCATGCACAGCTCGAATAATCAAAACTACATAAATTACAGAGATTTGTATCTGGTCTCTTGAAAAAGTTTCCTTCCATTCTACTTTCTCCTGCTCCAAAAAGAGCGCAAGTAGATACAAACTAGTTTTCAATTTTCCCAACCAAAAAATAAGAAAGTTTCCAGGATTGTCTCCCCAATATCTATTATAATTTTTGAAATTATATTGATCATTGAATATGTTTGAATTGAAAGCTAGTTAAATACTTTTTATAACCAAATACAAATCATGACACTTTTCCACTAAATATAAAATAAGAACTAACATTGATTCAATAACAATTGTCATTATATCTGAAATATTTAAACCATTGTGGTGACGTCAGCCTATTCATTTACCGTGGATTCTTTTTCTAGAATCAACGCTTCCTAAATCTGCCGCTGAAATTGACTCACCAAATTATATTCAATTGTTTCCTTTGTGTGCCTAATTTCATTAAGTTTGAATTCGCTAATTTACTGATTTCTGTTCACTTATGGAATTAATTTAAAAACTTACCTTTAATTTTTGTAATTTTTATATGCCTTCACTGGGAATCGAACCCTTCCTTGAAATCTGTTATGTGTGACTGACATCAACACATCGACGAAACCTCTCGGCTACCAATGGGTTACATTATAGATGTCTATTTTATATATTTAAATGAACATCTGATATACATCGGTTCATCGGACACACAGGGCTTGTACCTTTATATAGACAAAATAGGCAGTCGTATAGTATGAGTTAGTAGCCGCGAGGTTAGCATGGTTAAAATCAATGAGTTAAAGATAGGGATTTGTCGGTTTAGGTTCGAATCCCTGTATTCTCTCTGTTGTTCCAATTCTTAAGTTATCCTGTTTTTTTCTAACTTTGCATGTTATAGTGGATATTTTTGTAATAATAGCGAGTTTTACCGCTTTTTTTTTATTATTATTGGCTATTTCACATGTTTGAAACAAAAATGATTACATTCTATTTGTCAATTTTTGTTTTATAAATATAGTATGATTTCATCTGTTTTACTACATAATTTTACAAAGGTTTGTTCGCAAATTCCTATGCGAGAAAATCGTGATGTGCCTAGAGTGCTAGAAAAATTTCGATAACATACGTATTATATATACTTTATATATGCTTTTTGGTCGGGTTGTTGTCTCTTTGACACGTTCCCCATTTCCATTTTCAATTTTATTAGAAATAATTTCGAATATGTCTTCTCATTTGTATAAACAGATAATATTCATATGCCTGGTAATATAAATTCTTTAAAGGTAGAAGTGTTATATTTGTATTTTGTTAACCAACTATTTGTGATCTGAGATTTATCAATGCATCGTTGGACACGATACCATGGTTATTTAAACTCACTTATAATACCTTCTAATTAAGAAAAGGCTTTAATTTTGAAAAGAAATTAACACAATAGTTTAAGTTATAGATACATTTATAGTGTGTCTTTCTATGTTGTGATGTTACACTATTGTTTCAGAAAAAGGGTGAAGGTTTGGTACCATTAAAACGTTTAAACCCGCTGCATTTGTTTGCACCTGTCCTAAGTCAGGAATCTGATGTTCAGTAGTTGTCGTTTGTTGATGTGGTTCATAAGTGTTTCTCGTTTCTCGTTTTTTATATAGATTAGACCGTTGGTTTTCCCGTTTGAATGGTTTTACACTAGTAATTTTGGGGGCCCTTTATAGCTTACTGTTCGGTGTGAGCCAAGGCTCCGTGTTGAAGACCGTACTGTGACCTATAATGGTTTACTTTTATAAATTTTGACTTGGATGGAGAGTTAATTTGTCTCATTGGCACTCATACCACATCTTCTTATATCTATATAAAAGCGTAGATTCATGAAAAACAAACCATTCGCCCTCCGGGTTCATGGTTTCTTTTTCAAGAATCCACGCTTATCCATTGTATCTATATAACATAATCATACACGTTTAGATGTGCAAATGTACTACGACTCAACGATGACATTATCGATTGGATAATCAAAGGTTATTATACATACTTCGTCGTCTGAAAATTTGCCAAATAAAGTTAGACTATATCAAAATAAAGATTCCGTTAGTAGAGTAATGCCTTTTCTCGTTAGCTTTACGCGGGGTCGTACGACAGTACATGGTGTCTGGTAGTATGTAGATGGATTACATTGAAGAACCGCAATGTTGCAGTCTAAAAGGATGTATAGAAGAAGAAGAATATTTTATTTCCAATTATGTTCCGTTATATAGATACAATGGATAAGCGTGGATTCTTGAAAAAGAAACCATGGGCCCGGAGGGCGAGTGGTTTGTTTTTCATGAATCTACGCTTATCCATTGTATCTATAACTTAAACTATTGTGTTAATTTCTTTTCAAAATTAAAGCCTTTTCTTAATTAGAAGGTATTGTAAGTGAGTTTAAATAACCATGTTATCGTGTCCAAAGATGCATTGATAAATCTCAGATCACAATTAATTGGTTAACAAATACAAATATAACACTTCTACCTTTAAAGATCTTTATATTACCAGGCATATGAATATTATCTGTTTATACAAAATAAGACATACTCGAAATTATTTCTAATAAAATTGAAAATGGAAATGGGGAACGTGTCCAAGAGACAACAACCCGACAAAAAAGCATATATAAAGTATATATAATAAGTATGTTATCGAAATTTTTCTAGCACTCTAGGCACATCACGATTTTCTCGCATAGGAATTTGCGAACAAACCTTTGTAAAATTATGAACAACAGAGAGAATACAGGGATTCGAACCTAAACCGACAAATCTCGATCTTTAACTCATTGATTTTAACCATGCTAACCTCGCGGCTACCAACTCATACTATACGACTGCCTATTGTGTCTATATAAAGGTACAAGCCCTGTGTGTCCGATAAACCGATGTATATCAGATTTTCATTTAAATATATATAATAAACATCTATAGTGTAACCCATTGATAGCCGAGAGGTTTCGTCGGTGTGTTGATGTCAGTCACACATAACAGATTTCAAGGAAGGGTTCGATTTCCAGTGAAGGCATATAAAAATTACAAAAATTAAAGGTAAGTTTTTAAATTAATTCCATTAGTACACAGAAATCAGTAAATTAGCCAATTCAAACTTAATGAAATTAGGCACACAAAGGAAACAATTGAATATAATTTAGTGAGTCAATTTCAGCGGCAGATTTAGGAAGCGTTGATTCTAGAAAAAGAATCCACGGTAAATGAATAGGCTGACGTCACCACAATGGTTTAACAAAGGTTCACAATACAACACAAACAATGAGATAAAAAATAACCACACAAAATTAATAAAGAACAAGTTAAGTTCTTAAAGTAATATATAGAAGAAGAACCTATAATTTAAATATATAATGCATTATAATACAAGTGTGGTTGATATAGATAACAAACACACAGCCAAAAATAAATATCCATATACTAGTATATATATAGCACATAATTAGTTTAAATAAACATATAATAAACTAGACAAAAAAAAGTTGAGCATATCTTCAGGCCATCTATGTCAGCAGCAAATAGGTACATATTATGGTTTCCTAAAAGCAAAGTACCATGGTATGAGCCTTAAGGATAAAAGAGACTATTTGAGTAAATTATGTATCCTATAAATATATACAAAATAAAAATAAAAAAATAGGCTGATATGTTAGTGATATTCAGATCAATATATATTTCTAAGATGTTCAATCAAATGTACATACAAACATAGATTTCCATTAAATAATCTTCACAAAGGAAGATGTTTGTATATATAAGATTACATATTATTTTAAGTATATAAATATATAACAAATCAACGACTGATATTATTTATCGGATAAAAAAAAGTGTTCTACAGGGACAACACCACAAATCACATATACGTTATACCGCAGTCATACTAAGCCCCGATCGCACTATACGATCTCTGAAAAAAAAGCTAATTTTGACGATCGTAGTGCGATTGTGTAGATCGCAGTAAGTTGGTGGTACGGTTGTGGTGAAGTCTTCATGATCGTGATGAGCGTTGCAAATTTTGAACATGTTCAAAACAATCGTTGTGCGGTCGTGGCGAAATCAGGTCGTAGTAGAAGCGTAGCGAGAGCGCAGTAGGGTCGTGGTAAGATCGCAAAGGTCGCTGAACCATCGTAGCGAGAGTGCGAATCTAGTCGGAGAGATTGCGCTACGATCTCACAGCGACGTTACTATGACCTCACTACGACCATCACGTTCTCCCCGCGACCCCACAAAGCTTCTACTACGACAATACCACGTTTATACTACGCTGTTTAACTGTTTAAAACCATAGTACGATTCTAGCACGCGCATGCCGTCCTCATCACGCTCGTCTTACGACCTGACTACCTTCATACTACGACCATTTCGAGTTCTAGCCATGCTCATTGTCATTGACACCTAAAATACATAAAAGCTCTCCAGGTTTTGTTTGTCTGTAAGTAATTTGGACCTCATGTCCCTAATTTCCAACAGCTCTACCATGCTTGATACATCTGTATCATTCCCACTTTTGTTCAATACAATCTCGTCATTTGATCTTGATGGATCAGCAATGCGTTGTGATTCAGGTTGGATTGGTTGATCCGACATCTCTACTGGATCAGGATTCGTATCAGAGGCCCCTCTGACCCTACCTCTACCCCTACCACCACGCGCACGAGGTCTGGTAGATTTTGGTGGTATGCCTGTGTTGTTTTCGAGAATTCTACGTATTAATGACAATTAGAAGGAATAGAACAGTATCTATATGGAACATGATGTTGACGTTATTACTGAGAGCGTAGTTAGATCGCGGTATGAACGTGGAAAGATCGTAGAATGATCGTGGTAAGAGCGTGCCATAATCGCAGAAGAAGCGTGGTAAGATCGTGTTGCAATCGGATAAATCGTGGTATGGTCGTTATGAGAACATGATGAGCGTGGTAAGATCGTGATAATCTTATTGAGGTCGCAGAATAAGCATGGTTAGAACGTAGTATAATCGTAGCGGGATCGTTGTAGAAGCGTAATGAGGACGTAGTAGCATCGTGAAAACAACGAAAATCTACATTTTCATGCCGTTCTTACCGCGACCTCACCACGATCTGAATTTATTTTAGATCGCGGCGAGCGTGGTACGATCGTGGTCTAGTGTGACTGAGGCATTAGTAAAAAAATGTGCTTCCGCAAATTTGCAGATTAAACATAATTGTTAGACTTAGGACTAAGTATTTACTATAGTAATGTACTAGTAAACACATATATATATATAATGTGCAAAAAATTGAATTCTTAATGTCTAAAAAAATCAACTTAACTGTCAGATATATGCCTCTGAATTAATGACTATTAAATTTTCAAGGATGTACCAGTGAAATGACTTGCAATGTATGCAACCAAGAGAAACTGTCTAAAGAATTCGCACCATTCAACGCCGCTGATGAATGTGATCACGCTGCTCTATCATGTTTGCGGGTATGTGTGAATTAATTAGTAATCTGATTTAAAAATATAATATATGTCTAAAATATCTAATAAGCAAGTCTAAATTGGTACAATATCACCAAAAAAATAGTTAAAATCATGAACAAATTTAAATATTTCGGGTAAATCATAATGATATCCTTCATCAGTAAAATGTCAAATGATTCTTATCTTGACATGTGGTAGTCGAAGGAAATAATTATCTTTTTCGTTATACAATTATCATGAATCAATACGCTGGTAATTTTTTTTCAATATTGCCAATATTGATATATATTTAGGGGAGTAGGAATAAATATACAATATATGTAAAATTGAGAATGGAAATGGGGAATATGTCCAAGAGACAACAACCCGACCAAAGAGCAGACAACAGCCGAAGGCCACCAATGGGTCTGCAACGCAGCGAGAAAATCCCGCACCCGGAGGTGGTCCTCAGCTGGCACCTAAATAAAATTGTGTACTAGTTCAGTGAAAATGGACGTCACATTAAACTACAAAACATATAAATGAACTAAAATTAAAAAAAACATACAAGACTAACAAAGGCAAGAGGCTCCTGACTTGGGACAGGCGCAAAAATGCGGCGGGGTTAAACATGTTTTGTGAGATCTCAACCCTCCCCCTATACCTCTAGCCAATGTAGAATAAAGAAACACATAGCAATACGCACAGTAAAACTCAGTTCAAAAGAAGTCCGAGTCCGATGTCAGAATAGGTAACTAAAGAAACTAAGCAAAATGACAATGATACATAAATGACTAAAGGACTACTAGCAGTTACTGACATGCCAGCTCTAGACCTCAATTAAACTGATTGAAAGATTATGTCTTCATCGTATGAAAATCAAGTACAATCCCTCCCGTAAAGGGTTTAGTATCATACCATCATAAAATATATAAGAAGAACATAACCCGTATCATGCCAATAACTGGTTTTAGAATAAATGTGTATTTCCGATGCAAAGACCCTATGAGTGAATCAATATTAATACCAAAATATGCAATCCTTAATGACTTGACAACATTATCGTAACTATATCCTTTCCGAATAAGTCTGTTTAAAGGTTTGGTTAGCTTTTGAGGTGAATGCCGACATTTTTGTGCTTTGTAAAGAATATTACCATAAAATATTGGATGTGAAATACCCGGACGTATAAGATGTCTGCATGTTGCTTTATATTTACGAATGATGTCCTTGTACCGATGATAAAATTTAGTAAATGTTTTGACTAGTTTGTGATATCGAAAACCCTGGTGTAATAATTTTTCAGTAATACAGAGATTTCTTTCGTTAAAATCAAATACGTTGTTACATACACGAGCGAATCGAACACGTTGAGATATATAAACACCATAAGATGGTAACAAAGGAACGTCACCATCTAAAAATGGATAATAACAATCGGAAATGAAAAATCATCTTTTTTATCATAAATATTGGTATTAAGCTTCCCGTTAAAGATATAGATATCAAGATCCAGGAAAGGGCAGCGTTCATTGTTAGTATTAGCTTTATTTAAAGTCAGTTCGGCAGGATAAATCTCTTTAGTGTACATACTGAAGTCGTCATTATTGAGAGCCAATATATCATCTAAATATCTAAAAGTGTTAAATTTTTGAATCAGATGTTGTTTCGATGGGACTTTGCTGATTTAAGTCAGAAATTGTAACTCATAACAATACAGAAACAGGTCCGCAATAAGTGGTGCACAGTTAGTCCCCATGGGAATTCCGATAACCTGACGATATACGGAATCTCCATAGCGAACAAAAATGTTATCTAGTAAAAATTCAAGGGCAGTTATAGTATCAAAGCAGGTCCAATTGACATACTTCTTTTGTTTGTTGTTACTAAAAAATGACCTAAAAGAGTTTGAACATATATATTCGCATTCCGACTTTTTAAATGCCCATTTAATCAGGTGTGTGAATTTTTTCTTAATTAAATTATGAGGCAAAGTGGTATATAGGGTAGAAAAATCAAAACTTTGAACAGATTCGAAATCACCAATATAGGCATGCAATTTATCAAGTACTTCCAACGAATTTTTGACACTCCAAAAGTAATTAATTCCACTATTTTCAAAGGCCTTATTTGAACAATTTATTACCAGGTTTTTTATTGTACCAAGTGTACTAGTAAGTATAATAGATAGTTTAGTAGTGGAACAATGGCTTGAAGACGAAATAAATCTATATTTGTAAGGAGTTTTGTGCAGCTTCGGAAAACAGTACATAGTTGGAACTTTCATTGTATTTGGTTCTGCTTGTAAAGAGGTAGCTAAAAGTTTATGTTTGTTACAGATGTCATTACATTGTCGTAAAATATAAAATGTATTTGTATGAGCATTAGAAACAGGATGAAAAGCGAGGGTCACCGAGCTTTTCTCCTGTTTGGTAGCGAGTACAAATAAATTTTATATTTTCCGGCAACGTACATTTATCATTTTTTATCCTGAAATTTACCCCTAACACGTGAAACTTTATTTCTTTTAAAATCTAAATCATTATCACTAATTTTTCAAAGAAATCGACCTAGTTGAAACGCGGACCGCGAAGATGACCCCTAAATGAACTGGTACGCAAAAATAAATATCCACATTACCGCTTGCTCAACATGTAAGCGTGGTAACAGGAGATTTTATTTATACTACATGTAGTAATAAAGCTAAGATTTATTTGTTTTCCTGTTTTTTTTGTACAATAATTGGCTCATTGCAGGATAAATTCCTTAAAACTGTGAGAGTCCTGTACTTAAGCTTAAGTTACAGAAAACAAGTGATGGTATGGACTCATTTTATACTATCTTCGTTAATGCCCTCTGGGGAAACTTTCCTTAACTTTCTTTTTCAAAACTTTCCAGAGCAAGTCTGAGGGCCATTGACTAACCCTCATTGTGGTTTATGACAGTGATGGTAAGGTTCATTGAACATTGCTAATTAATTTAAAGTCACCGGACCATGGCCTAGGGGGCAGAACCTCTAAAAAGTCGTCAAACTGATATTTACTGGAACAATGCAACTTCACATAAATTATCCTTGATCTATCACAAGTACTTCCTATCAAACTAACTTAACCAGAAAACTTAACATTGAACATGGCTAATTCAATCAAATCACTGGAACAGGCAGAGGCGGCAGAGACTCAGAAGTGTCGTCAAACTACCGGTTATATGTATTGATAGTAATGCATCTTCATACAAAATACCAATAATCTATCACAAGTAGTTCCTATCAAACTATCTTAAGAAGAAAACTTAACAATTGTTGACACCGACAACGCAGCAGTTGCAGGAAAAGCAATCTATATGTCTCGCTTTCTGTCACTTTCGTCGCAGGCGAGACAAAAACCAAACGCTAAAATACAATTACAGCGATTAAAATTATTTATCATTTAGACACTGCTTTAAACGTTATCATCATGGCGGTACCTGGATTGTACATTTGACTGATATGACGTATCGTTATATTAGCAAAAAGGGGGTGTGTAAACGTAAACTGGTTAATAAACTCGCCACTTTTTGTGTCTGTACAATATCGGGTTTCTTGACCATGTGTTGATTTTGTTGTTTTTGTTGTTTTATGTTTGTTTGTACGTACATTTTCCGGATGAGTCGGTGTTGGTGAAAAGATTGATCCACTGTAAAGGCAAAGGCATTATATCCAGTCTGTTTAATCACATTCTTATCCATGACCATGCATTAGTTTGTAAGACAGTATTCTCCAGTTTTACAGAAATTTTCATTAGTGTCCTATATATATGTGTTAGCGGCAATAAGTGAAATTAGACATAAAGCTCAAATCCTAGGCAATAAGCTAACGCCTAGGCAGTAAGTCTATTGCCTAAATAATGTTAGGCATTACTCTTAAATCCTAGGATTTAAACTTAATTCCTGAAAATTATGTCCAGGCCTTCATGTCAATGCCTAAGATGAAAATGAGAGTAAATAAAAAGAAAGTTATTCAAAGTTAAAATACATTTTTTACATAATAAAATAATAGGAACTGAAGTTTGAATGTCAATTCCATGAAATAAAATCTCAAGTAAAATATTGATGTTAAAACTTATTGAATAAAATCTTAGAATATAGGTAAACTTGTTGGATAGTTGTCTCATTAGCAATCGTACTTCCTTCCCTTATTTTTATATTGATAAATAAATGAAATGCAATTTATTTGTTTCCAATTGGTGCGGAGCTATGGCAATTATTTCAGTTTTAATTTTTCTTGCATTTGTACCTGGTGATCGTCAACTATCTTTGTGTAGAGCAGAATTCTTTTTTATATGAACGAATTTAATTCCAATTGACCACTCTTACTTCGTTGTTCCTCATCCATGCAGTAAGCGTGTCATACATATTTCCGTTAATAATGTTACAATTTTTACAAAATGAAAGAAACAGTACAATGCAATCATTGAAAATACTTGCAAAGCCATTATAGTGTATTTTTTTCTACGTTCTATAAAAAATATAGGCCAAAAATACCATACAGTTCCTCTAGAAAAACATAAACTTAGAAATTTCCCTCAACATTATCTATTACCTTCGGTACCAGTCTTTCAAACCTCCAATGGTTAAAAAAAATTCAGCATAATAGTCTATAGTTGACTTTTTTTCTGATTTTGAAAGTTTAATCTTTGCGAAATGATCAATGTACTTTGTTTTGGGTATATAATCTTTGTTTCTCCGATATTCTGCAAATAATCAAATGCTTCTTTTGAAATACTAATACTCCAAATTGAGAAATGAAAAAACAAGAAGGGTATTTAAGAAAATTTACATATCCAATAAAACAGATGAAAAGATGATGTGACTGGCAAAATTTTATATTTTTGACCAGCTCAAAGTGGCTCGACTATTGAAGAGCAATACCACAAAAGAAATACGAGTAAGATTTGTTTTGAAAAAAGCTGATAATCAAAGATCATTAAAATCATTTTAAATTTTTTTTGGAATATGATTTTTTTTAAATTACTAAGGAAGAATATTTTAGCCTTATTAACATGTATTTGGACGATAAACAAAAATCCCAAAATAATCTTATTGCCTGAAATGATGTTTGGCAATAGGTTGAATAATCATCATCAGATTTCAGGCAATGTCTTAATGCCTTCGCGTTAGCTTATTGCATTATAGGATTTAAAATTAATGCCGAATTTCACTTATTGCCGCTTACATATTAAGCTATAATTGTTGAGGAGAAATTGAATTTCAGATAGAAAAAAAAAATACTTGACATAGGTGCATCACATGAACATTCGAGTCACGATTGTGTATATTGAATTCTAAGAGAACGATTTGTATTTGAATTCAAACAGTTCCCCCTATGTTAATCAATGTTCCGCAAAGAATTTTAGGTCAACACCAAATGATTAATTTGGTAAATGACCATTCATCAGTTGACTTATTCATCAAAAATATCAATTTAATAAATTTGCAATAGTGTTCAGAAAAAATGCGAACAATAGGTGTTGATGGCACTGGTAATCTGAGGGTTTAGGATAAAACTTCAAAAACAAACTATTTTAGAAACTACATGTGGTAATAAATTTGAAACGAGTTGAATCAGGTTTCAAATACTATCTTTTTTTTATTTTAGTGCATGGTTGATGCTGTAGCGAACTATGGAAAGTGCCCATACCCAGGATGCTCACAACAAATTGATAAACGCAGCGATAAAATAAAAATATTTGAAAAAATGCTTGCAAAAATGTTTAAGGAATACGAGACAAGCTACAGTCCCGTTGTGGAAAGCAAGGATTTGGATAGTGATGGTTCCACAACATATATTAATATAACAGGTCTAACTGGCGAATCCATGCAAATCCCATATACCCTAAAACTGACTGTAATGGATTTAAAGAATCACATTCAACGCGAACTTCGAATTGAAACCAGTAAGCAAAAACTTTTATACGAGGACAAAGAAATTGAAGTAAGTTGTTTATTTTCGAATATATACGTTATAAAGCACGTTGAAATTTTAGTTATTTTAGTTAAAATCACAAAACTTTGGAGAGTAAATACAAATCTAGTTTAAGCTGATTTCAAACATTGATAGAAATTAATCACAAAACTGAATTCAACTCAAATAGGCAGTAAAAAGAACTATAGAAACGATACTATGTTCATTCGTGTCTTCCAAAATTGTAATATAAAACAATTAAGGAAGATACAAAGATAGCAATGAAAACCGAACCACGAGTCGAAGAAAACAACAATGAGCAATATCCCTACCAAATAGAAGGGTTATAACAGGCCATAACACAAACAAATAAAAACATCACCGACGGACTGTTATAAATAATAAACTAGTCACACCTAGTTCGCCTTGATTGAATGCCTGTTATGAATTATTTCTATACTAAAATATTGTCTTTAGAAACTTTTCACCACTGTTGCCTCAAATATTAATTAGATACATGTCTATTTTTACAAACTCTTTGTTAACCTCTACCAATCCATTTAAAATGAAAAAAAAATATGTGATATGAGTGGTAATGAGACAACTATCGATAAAAATGCAAAGAGATGAATAAATAAAGGTTACGCTCAGGGACTTTGGTTATTATTGTCGTTGGGTTACTATATCATTCCTTTTTTCATGATTAAAGCAATAAATTTCAGAACAATAGTACAACTGGAAGAATGGCAACTCTTGGTGACTACAACGTAAAGCCAAACACCACAATTTGTTTGGTTGTATGCCTCTACAGCATTCCTGAAGATTTCAACCATGTCGTATTTGATTTATATTGGGGTTATCCTCGGAGTGGAAAAGACTACCTTGACGCTTCATGCTTAATGTTTTCAGGGACAACTTTTTACCGAGCATGCGATTATCATTACGTAAAGCCACACTCATCTGTAAGACACTCTGGGGACAGAATGGATGATTTCAGAAAACAAGGGCACCATACTATTGACGTATTCTTGCAGAATATACCAGCGGATATAACACATCTCTTCTTTACTCTGAGTGCTTGGAGTTGCCCGAATATATCCAAATATAGGAAACCTAGTTTAAATTTTTTCGAGGCATCAAAGCCCAATAAAAGCTTGTGTGAAACTTCTTTTAGGCATGCAAATAATTCACAGGCTGTAGTCATGTGTTCTGTGTCTAGAAAAGATGGTAATTGGAAAATATTTCAATCCGGAAAACTTTCATCTGGAAACGCACATAAATACGGGCCACTAAAGGAAACAATCCGACGTCTGATTTTATCTGGATTTTAATTCTTACTGACGATAGAATTTATTGAAATAAACTTTAAAATTAATCACGGCATAGGACATATATTTACATCAAAAATATTCCTAATCAGAAGATATATAAGAAGCAAAAAATCAAAAATACAAAAAGTCAACGGAGAAACTAAAAGTCACTTTAAGCATAATTAGAATATCAAAGAAATTCAATAGTGAATGACACTCATTACTTTACAACAAAAGGAATACTACCGAACATCATTTGGTTATATCGTCATTTGCTTTCTTTCAAAATGGATTTTTACAGAAAAAAGTAAAAGCACCTTGAAAGGCAATCACTCTACACATACGTTTTCGAGAATGAATAAATATGCCACGCAGTTTTCCAAACAAGAGCTAGTATTATAATCACTCTATTGTTTTATCTTAACTGTAACGAACACATTTTTATTAATTTCTCTTTCCTGTTTAAATCTGCTTGTTGCATGATGCGAGGAAACAATGCAACATGTTTTGATGAGACTTTGCAATGTGATATCGAAAGTTTCTTTTTTGCAATTTTTTTTATCTATCATTCAACTGGCAAAATAGAGTTTAATTTTCAGGCTGTTGCTATTTGATTATCTGATGCTCACTAACGCATACATAACGATTTCATTAACTCTTATAAACACAATGAGATGTAGTATAATTGCAAATGAGACAACTATCCAAAAAGTTCAAATGAAGTGGATGTAAGAAATTATGGGCAAGCGTACGACCTTCAACAATGAGAAAAACACACCGTATAGTCGGCTTTAAAAGGTCCCGACATGGAAAATATATAACAATTCAATATAGAAAACCCAGTGCCTAATTTATTACAAATTTTTTTACGAAAAACAAATGTGATAGACACATGAACCAACAGCAATCACTGAACTACACGCTCTTGACTTTGGACAGGCTCATAGGCTAAACATGTTCGAGGGCGTAAGGTTCTTGACTTGAGACATACACATACAGATTGTGGCGGGGTTCAACATGTTTGAATGCGTCTACCCTCCCCTAAAATGATATGGTACAGTGGTGTAACATAAGAACAAACTTGCTGTTCGGTGTGAGCCAAGGCTACTGTTGAAGACCGTACTTTGACCTATAATGGTTTACTTTTACAAATTGTGACTTGGATGGAGAGTTGTCTCATTGGCACTCATACCACATCTTCTTATATCTATAAAAATCGGTTGAAAAGGGCTTTACTAATCAATGACCAATGCAAAGAGTCTGCTTAATGACTATCTTGAATAAAAAATGGGATCACAAAACACTTAATAATTCTAATCGTTGATTAAAAAAGTTTTATTCTAATAATAATTATAATACGAAAATGTGCTAACTGATGATGTCCCGAATGTTATATGATTACGAATTCTATTTTTATTGTCTTTAAAAACTCCATCCTACATTTTGGTAATTAATCATCACAAATTTGTTGGAAATCGTATGCTTCTGTTTGGTTTATCAGATACAATTTTGAGTAAATCGTCTAGAAAGTAAGAACATTTAATTTAAAGTCCTCATATTTCTCAAAATTGTTTATTAAATACATGTAGTTTTTATTGGCTTTGATCAAGCTTTCAGGAACAGCTAGTACCCTTAGATGAGTACTTTATACCTTTTGTCTTTATGGTAGTTTTTGTTTTGCGCTTTGCTCAAGTCTGATGAGTCAAGTCATTTCCGACTGATTTTTACAATTCGTTCGTGGGTTCATGTCTTATTGACGCAAAAGTAAGATGTAATATGAATGCTAATGAGGCAAATCATCATTAACGACCAAATAGTAGTTAATTTATCGTGTTTAACCTGCAGTTTTCCCAGTCCTTTACTCACGATCAGCGGCCAGCCCAAACCTCTGCAATTCAATAAGTTTAGTTTACACTCTGCTTCACGCACCCTAGAGTTGACAAATAAATGGAATAAACCCCAACATTTACCATAAACAGTACAAATATAACCGCCTTTTAGGTCTAGTCCAATAAAGAACATTCGATTTTGATTTCAACCTTGATTTCGTGAGAGCGAACGGGGGGTATTAAAAACAAATCGATATCTTGTGATCTTCCTCCCGGAAATGACGCATTACTCTTGTAATAACATTAGAATGAGGATGCCAAACGGTTAGATTTGTTCTTGTTTCAAATAATCTATACTACTTGCTACTGTTTTAATCTTTTTTCAATGAGATGTACGATTAAAGACAACCCCAAACCGGCGCACCAGCAAGTACTTTGATTGAGAATATGGCTATGGCTATTTGTGTGAATTTAAGGAATTGTTTCGGATTAGTAAGGTTGAGTACAATCATGCTCTGTATCTCAATGGGTCTTTTGGGTTCATGCTTGGCAAGGCAGGTTATAGTGTGATGATTTTGTATCATAGGTTCGATAGTTTACCTTAGTTACAGTTCGGCAGAAGCCTTATTTTATGCATTTGTATATACTTTAATAAAACATAGAAAAGAATAAGATATTTGGCGGGTAAACCTTGGGTCAGGTCAAATGTGATGTTCCAAAGGAAACTGTTAATACAAGTAGTGAGGAAATTTAGGAGAACACCCCTACTTCAAGAATGGTACGGCTACCATTGTGGTATATAAACAGGAGCGATTCCTTGCTGATTGTCATTGTCATCAGTCTACGGAGACATAAGACCAAGGAACGGTACGTTGATATTCGAGATCGTTGTCTCTTATATATTAGATACTATTACATTAAGTGTAATAAAGAACAGGTTGGTGCCTGTTAGAAACACGGACTTGTGCAAGTTGGAGTTTACAAATTGTACCGTATTGGACAGGTGTGTTAACTTGTAGGGTACTTAATTGTACCAAGAGGACAAGTTTGTTCCTTACCAAGGACATACAATTGTACTGTATTGTTGTACCATATAGGACAAGTGTGTTTACTTGTAGGGTACTTAATTGTAACAAGAGGACAAGTTTGTTCCTGACCCAGGACAAAGTTGTACCAGTTGTATATATTTGAAGTAGAATAGTTATATATATATATATATATGTATATATTTTAGTTCATTGATGTCAATCTATGAATTAAGTTTACTTGTTCGATATTTTGTAAATAGAACATTTTTGATCCAGTATCAAACTGGTAACGATCATATTCTAAAATAGAAATACATGCGTAGACACGCTTACCCTGTGTACACGTTACTATAGGATTTTCTATAGGTATTACGGTAAGTGTACTCTTAATGGTAATATAATAACTCGCTATATCAAACAAACCTCCCAAACCATACCTTTAGGTAAATTGATAAAATACGGTCCTTTATTCATGCCAGAACTAACATATACATGTATGTTCTGAATTCGCTCCCCCCTTTTTTTTTATCAAACTCATTCGAAAATTCCTCGATTTCTTGCGATGATTTTCTATAGGTATTACGGTAAGTGTGCTCTTAATGGTTATATAATAACTCGCTATAGCAAACAAACCTCCCAAACCATACCTTAATGTAAATTGATAAAAACGGACCTTTATTAATGCCAGAACTAACATATACATGTAAGTTCTGAATTCGCTACCCCCCTTTTTTATCAAACTCATTCGAAAATTCCTCGAATTCTTGCGATGATCGTTAATACAATTGTTATATATATTGGCTTATGACTCTCATAGTACAATTATATAGCCTTTGATACGACAGATGTTGACTTAATTGATATCAAATTTAGAGGATGTGTTATAGTTGCAATGAGAAAACCATCCACCAGAAGCCAAATAGCGTGGATGTAAATGACCGTACGGAAACTCAAATCGTATAGAAAGCTATAAAGAACCCTAACATGACTACTTTTAAATCATTTAAAACGAAAAAGCGAACGGCCTTACCTGTGTTAAAAATAAACGAAAATCAAATATCACAGACTAGAACCGACATCCACCGAATTACAGAATCCTGAATTTGGAGAGGCATATATACACACTGTGGCGGGGTAAACACGTTTACGATCGCTCAACCATTCCCTAAACCTGGGACACAACAACCTAAAAACAAACTCCAACCAAAGCGCAAATGCACCGAAAAAGGCACATACTTAGAAATATACCTACATGAAAGTGTTCCCCCTTTTAGAACAAGTACAAGATTAGTTTTATTATCACAAGTAATGAAATAATTTCATACCAAATATCCCCTTGCAATAAAACATTTATCAGTTATGTGAAAATACATTTTTTCCCTGTATAAAAAACATATTACTACCGACAGTTGATAATAATAAAGAAACGTGGCATCATAAATCAGATTTCATTCATAAATCATGTTCATATTGAAATTTCCAGTATTTATTTATTGTCTCTAACTCGAGTAGTAAGGTCAATTCATTAGGAATTACACATTTGTGTCATCAAAGTCATTTAAATTTTATCATGTTGCATTCCACAATTAAGTAATTTGGCGAAATTCTGCTTAATTTCAAGTTGTCTGCTGTTGTCTAAAATGCTGAAATATTTGTTGTAATAACATTGGCTCCACAAGTTTTTTTGGCAGCTCAGATCCGGTTACATCTGGAGCTCGGTGCCCTATAAGTGAAGTCCATAATGTAAAGCCTTGAGCTGGATGATAAAATAAGATGGAGTAAGAGCCTGACTGTCATGCTCGAAAAAAAACATCCATTGGGAAATTCTCTTTCGTAAATGAAAGAACTTAAAAAGCGTTAAAAACTAAATCTAAAACAATTCCCAAATGTTAAAGATAAGTCAAAACCACAAACAACTGCAAACGTTGCAGGTTTGTCACTTACTAGATAAAGGATACTACAGATACAGTTAAGTCTGCCTCATATCTTGACTTACATCTAGAAATTGACAATGAGGGTCGGTTGAAAACAAAACTTTACGACAAAAGAGATGATTTCAGCTTCCCAATTGTGAACTTTCCATTTCTATGTAGCAACATTCCAGCAGCGCCTGCATACGGAGTATATATCTCCCAATTTATACGATATTCCCGGGCTTGTGTTTCCTATCATGATTTCCTTGATAGAGGATTGCTGCTCACAAGGAAGCTATTAAACCAAGAGTTCCAAATGGTGAAGTTGAAATCATCCCTTCGTAAATTTTACGGACGCCTTCACGAGTTGGTTGACCGTTATGGAATAACCGTTTCACAGATGATATCGGATATGTTCCTTATGTCGTAACTACAATACCCTTCCCTTTTCACGAATGTGACTTACCAAATTAGACTATTTACCGGATTTGTAATAACATAAGCAACACGACGGGTGCCACATGTGGAGCAGGATCTGCTTACCCTTCCGGAGCACCTGAAATCACCCCCAGTTTTTGGTGGGGTTCGTGTTGCTTAGTCTTTAGTTTTCTATGTTGTGTCATCTGTACTATTATTTGTCTGTTTGTCTTTTTATTTTTGGCCATGGCGTTGTCAGTTTGTTTTCGATCTATGAGTTTGACTGTCCCTCTGGTATCTTTCGTCCCTCTTTTACTAGAAAGTAAAAAAGCATATGTTAATCGCAAACAAAATCGTTTTGACTGTGGCAATCATATATTCAAAACATTGTATGTAATACAAAGGAAATTT